ATATGCAGTAACCCGAATGTTGTTCGGAGTCCCGGATGAGATCCCGGACGTCATGAGGAGTTCCGGAATGGTCCGGAGGTAAATATTTATATATGGGAAGTCCTGTTTCGGGCATCGGGACAAGTTTCGGGGTTATCGGTATTGTACCGGGACCACCGGAAGGGTCCCGGGGGTCCACCGGGTGGGTCCACCTGTCCCGGGGGGCCACATGGGCTGTAAGGGGGTGCGCCTTGGCCTAATGGGACAAGGGCACCAGCCCCACATAGGCCCATGCGCCTAGGGTTAATAGGGGAAGAGTCCTAGGAGGGTAAGGCACCTCCTAGGTGCCTTGGGGGGGAGGAAAACCCCCTTGGCCGCCGCACCCCCTAGGAGATTGGATCTCCTAGGGCCGGCCACCCCCCCTTGGCACCCCTATATATAGTGGGGGAGAGGAGGGACTTCATACCTGAACGCCCTGGCCTTTGGTTGCCTCCTTCTCCCTCCCCAACACCTCCTCCACCTCCTTAGTGCTTAGCGAAGCTCTGCCGGAGTACTGCAGCTCCATCAACACCACGCCGTCGTGCTGCTGCTGGTGCCATCTCCCTCAACCTCTCCTCCCCCCTTGCTGGATCAAGAAGGAGGAGACGTGGCTGTTCCGTACGTGTGTTGAACGCGGAGGTGCCGTCCGTTCGGTGCTAGGATCTCCGGTGATTTGGATCACGTCGTGTTCGACTACATCATCCCCGTTCTTTGAACGCTTCCGCTCGCGATCTACAAAGGTATGTAGATGCATCCAATGACTCGTTGCTAGATGAACTCCTAGATGATCTTGGTGAAACGAGTAGGAAAATTTTTGTTTTCTGTAACGTTCCCCAACATTACTTTCCAAACGTGCTTCGAGGAGGCAATGACACTAGAGTTTATGACATCCAGATACATGGATTTGACCGAGAACACGCCGTCCTTAGTCAGTTTCCAATACAATTGATCTGGCTGCTGAGACAACTGGAAATCCATCAACCGTCTTACAAGATGAAGCCAAGCCTCCCAAACCGAGACCGGCGATACCAGCAGAGGGCAATCCGTGGAGTGTGGCGACGAAACGGCCAGACCACCCGGCCCGCCCTCCGAAGCAGCAATAGGGGAGACGGCGGCCTCCTGCACGCCCGCTCCTTCGCAAGTCGCCGATCTCAAGGGCGTGAGCGTCGATGGCGACAGGGACTCAGAGGGCCGAGCCTCCTGCCCGTCACCTCCAAACGCGACCACCGGCGCAGCCACCTCGACCGAAGCCGAGGGAAAGGTAAGAGAAGAGGGCGGGGCCTCCTGCCCTGCGGCACCTCCCACCTCGACATGCTTCATCACACGCAGACTCACCATAGGGTTCACAGAATCGACCCGGTCGCACCAAAGCCTAGGCGGAGCCGAGAACGCCCCCAACGACCCAAGCTGAAGAGTGGTTGTCGGAACTGTACTAGTGGACCCAACAGGAACAGAGTCACCAGAATCAAACGGACCTGAAGGCCCCTTGGCCTTATCATCATCACTCTTAGCATTATCATCCTGGTTCCCCGAAGCACCTCCCCCTTAGAAGTGTCCATGGGATTATCATCCTCAAACTCACTGAAAATATTAGGATCCTCATACTCAACATCCAACTGATACAGAACGCCTGCATGTGTCCAAGGCACCACATCTGGCAGAAACTCAATGTTAGCGACACTGACAAGTAGACGTGCCACCCCGTGAGCACGTGTGAACTGCATATCCACCTGCTCAGTCTTCCCAATCAAAGAACCCAGGCTCCACGTCACCAAGAAGCTGTCCAGAGGAGCAGACGGAGCTCCAGAGAAACGAACCCAGATCTGAGTTAACGGCGTGCCCTGTGGCTCCTTCTTTTTCCACTCATCAAACTGCAACACATAACTAGTATCCGTGACCCTGCTCATACCGAACTTGAGGATTCTCAGCTGATCCTCCTTAGATGGAAATCCACTTTAAAAGAATTATCTGTGAGCTTAAGTAAGGACCACTGAAAATTACCCGAAGCAAGCTCTCTCAACTGTTGAATGATCTGCGCTTCGGTCAACGGTCCATGAACCACCTTCACCACACCGGGGAAGGAGGTTTCCACCACGGGAGCCGAGGGTTCCAAACTGGGAGACTCAAAAAACATCAACTCTGAACAACACACCCCGTATATCTGAACGGAAGGTTTGGGCCCCAACATCAGAGGACACTCGGCTGCTGTATGTTTAGGTTTCCGGCACAAATCGCATAACTCCGTAGTACATTGAACCAAAAAGTGTCCCGGTTCCCCACACCGGAAACAGGTTAGCTTCTTCTTTTTAGCCGCCCACTTGGATAGCTTGTCATCCTCGGCCTTGTCTGTACCTTGCTCAGAACCAGAATCACCTATCTACATGGGCTCCAGCAAAGAGACTGCAGCCAAAGCCTGCACCATCTCCACCGCCACCTGCGGTAGATCCGATGCATCGTCAGCCACCTCCGTCGCGGTAGCGGTCTTCTATGCCTTTGGCGGGTGGTGCCGCCGGTTCCCACCCCGACCTCCGCGAAAACGTCCTCGGAAAGCTCGGTTATTAGGGCCAACCGCACCCTCGACAAAGTTGCCTGTCGGTCCTTGGAAACCCCGGTTATCATTGCTGTTGTCCACCCAAGCATAGCCACGGCCCCCTCCGGTGGACGAAGAACCCCGGTGCAGACCAGCGCCATATGCATCATACCCATCATCGCCCCACTGAGCACTCGGGGGTTTACGGTCATCTCCCGCAGACGCACCCGTCCCGTGGCCGGTCGAGCCCTGGCCCGAGCCACCGCGGCATCACGCCATCTGCCTCGGCCACGGTCGTTGTGGCGGCGGCGGGTCGGCCCTAGGTGGCAGCGTCGGCGCTACCCTAGGCACGAGAATAGGCGCAGAAAGCAAAGGAGGCGCCCCCCGAGGCGAAGCCGGCACCCTGGCCAGAGGCGGAGCCAGCGCCCTAGCCGGAGTCGGAGCCGGCGCCCTAGCCGGAGGCGGAACCAGCGCCCTAGCCGGAGGCGGAACCAGCGCCCTAGCCGGAGGCGGAGGTGGCCCCACCCGAGGTGGAGCCGGCGCCCGCGGCGGCAGTTTGGTCGGCCGGGGCGGGGGCGCAGCCCGTGCGGGACCTGGCGCGCTCGCCGCCGCAGCCTAAGCGGTCGCTCCCGCGGCCCCGGCCTGGTTCCGCGCAGTCGGCGCCGCCCGTGGAGGAGGCGGTTTAGGCGGCATCTTGGCCGGACTCGGTCCAGGAGACAACCGGCGATCAGCAACCCCGGCGATCACCGGACAACGACGGCGCGATGAGGCGTTCGGGAACCACGGGTTTCCTCTATGACGAACCCTAGCCACGCAATGAGGGGAAGGAGAGGAACATGCATGCGGGGGCGACCGACTCGAGGCCTCCACATGCACGTCGTCTGCACCCTGCGCACCGCAAGCCTAACCAGCCCCCTGGACCTCGAGCCCAGTACTAGCCAAGCCCACGACGCCCTCGATCACTTGCAGCCCTTCTGTGCCCAAAAGCAAATTCAAACGCGCGTGTCTGTCCGCCCGAATATCACGAACACCGGCCACCACCGGTGATCGTTGCGACACCGCCCGACCCCCCTTCTTTTTCCGCCTAGTAACTTTCGTCCAGCACTCGGGACGGAAAAAGTCGGACAAGGTGATATCCGTCGGCCCAACCTTCGGCAACGGGCCACACCACGGTTTCACTTTCGACTTGTGCGGAAGAACTGGAGGGCCTAGCAAAATCGATCTCTTGCTACTCACCGTAGGTTTAGGCACGGGGATATATGTATCCAAGCCAAGCGAAGATGACGGTCGTGTCGACGTGCCCGGCAGATCAACCTCGTCTTCATCCTCATTAGCAAGAATCCAGAAACATCCCCCAAACCTTTGCGTCGGCTTTGATCCGTCGACATCCTCCGTGAGATCAACAATGACAGCTTGTTCTTCACCCTCCGAGGGCATCTGCACAACTCAAGAACCTCGATATTGAAAATATCAATCAATAAGCACTTACCGTTATGAAGCTCTTCGTCCGCGGGAAGATGTCGTCCGGCCAAAATATCTCCTTCTTCATCTCGGATCGTCATCCAGCGAGACGGGTGCGAATAGATCAGGCCATTGATCCATCGCCCCACCTCACGAACATCTTGAAAACGGACTTTCCATTTCATAGGATTTTTGAATCCCCGATCCCGATCCTCCGTTGAGGAATCTCGACGAGAAACCGGAGAAGGGGACAGATCAAGAGGCGGCATGGGATCCACCACGAGCGCAGGCCGGATCTCATCCGGAGGGCGAGGTGGCTCCGGTGACAGCCGCGAAAGCGGCGGAGGCGGAGGCGGTTCACCCCGGGACGAGGCAGCCGGGCAGATCGGCGGCGGAGTAAACCCCCCTCCGTCGTCCACCAAGCCCACCCCATCACCCGGCGAAGGCGGCGGCGGAGGCTCCGACAGGATCGGCGCTAGCGGCGACTCTCTCCCGTCGCCACGCCCGTCGCCACTCATGTCTCCACTACTTAATGATCTAAATGCTCTTATATTTCTTTACGGAGGGAGTAAATACTAGCATCATTCATGCTTTTTCCACCACAACATGGAAGGAATTGCTAGCATCCCGCTGATCTTGACCAGTCCACCACAACATCCATTTACAGGCTGTTCCCCCCAAACGGCTCCGGGCCGCAGAGAATCCGGGTCACCAACCTCCACCTTCCTTCCCACTTCCAATGCAGAAATGCAGACGTTTGCTGGGCACGTGTTCCCTCTCCTCGACACGCCTCCCGCTCCCCTCATCTGACCAAAGCTCCTCCGAGTCATTTCCCCTCTCTGGCTCTCTGTCTATCTGCTACCGCTTCTTCGTGATCTCTAGCCCTGTCAACGAATTGTCCCTCCACCCCGCGATCGCACGCAAGCTCGCCCCTTTGATCCCCGCATAGTTCTTGCGCACACACAGAAGGGTTTACATAATCAGGAGGGAGATGGATGTGCAATACCACGAGGTGAGCAAAAGCTCGTCCATACATACGCTCATGCATGTCGATATGCTTCATCTTTGGACTGCATACGCATGCGCGATTGAAATCTGATCATAATACTTATGATGGGGCTCTGTAGTACCCAAAAAGCATCATTCTGATGGATGGTTTGGTGATTGGTCCTGCAGGAGTACGTGAGGAATCCAAGGGGGGTGCAGCTCTTCACATGCGGCTGGCTGCCCGCTTCTTCCTCGCCCAAGGCGCTCGTCTTCCTTTGCCATGGTACGACTCGTACCAATCAAAGGCCATTACTGCCTGATCTCCAGTCCTTGCTTAATTTGTGAATCGACCACTGCTGCCTAAGCTTTGCACATTTCTAACTTGGACAGTAGCTACGAGTAATTCCGGTGGCTTCATCGATCATTACTACATTGACTCTCTCCTTTTTTTTCTCTCTTCTTGTATGTATGCGTGTTCATTTGCTTCAGGGTATGGCATGGAATGCAGCGTCTTCATGAGAGGTACTAATGCTGCTTAATCTTCATGCTTCTTGGTACCTATCTCCGTTTATTTTATTTTATTTTGTTTTTGGAGATAGTTTCAGAGAAAATTCAGAAATATGATGAGGGGTATGGAAGCCGTTCCACTACGTAGGACAAGATAATGTTTCACGAATTATTTTCGGTGTGCGGTCGTATCATATGGGCCTATTTAATATTTATTGAATTCATATATATTTGTCCTTGCATCATCCATGACTTCACATGCATGCACTGCGGATCTAGGCTTCATATATGTTAGTGCCATTGATCCTTCTAGATGCATGCGTCAGCCTCAGCCTGGTTGTTAATAGTCTAGGACAGAGCATGGGAATAGCATGGGAGGCTACCAGCCTTCTTATTTCCTTTCTGGTGAATGCCAGGAGCATTCTCTGGCCTAATTTTGTTTCAAGTTCTTTCGACGCATCAAGCGTTGCTGATCGTTAAACAATTTTAAATCTTTCTCTCTCTGTCAGTGGATCGGAAAGCAAGCTTTGCGTTTTCTCGAAAAACATCACCCTGCATTGCAGTCTAGGGAAAGATGGTAGAAGAGAATTTTATGTAAGCAAATTAGCGGCCAGAGACCATTAATTGCCGTCTACTTTAAGGAATAGGTTGCAGATGCTGATAGGGAACTACAAGTACTGGCTGGTGATAGATACCGTGACTTCATGAATTGGACAGCTTTGAGCAGCAGATGCTGCTATATATGCTGACAATTGTCTTATTCGATCCAGTATATCCGTAATTTTAGAACTAAATTGTCGGGGGTGCATGCATGAAAATCGTCTTGAAAACCTTGGTACTGCAGAGAAGGAGTTGACATATGGCAGACAAAGAACTGCTACCCTACTGTCCCTTTGCTAATATTGGTCCTCTGCTCTTGGAAGAAGTATTTTGCTCATTGTAGGGTAGTCTCGAATTCAGATCAATTACTTACCACCCACAAAGAACACGCATCACCATCTATTCTCTCATTTGATCTTTTCACACAGAGATAGTTAAACATAATCTAGGTGGCAGTTAATAACACTCCTCTCACATGTATTGGTGGTGGGACCCTTTTGTTTGGCTGCGAGTGAAAGCTGCTTTTGATAAAGAGAGAAGATGATGATGGCAACACCCTTCTCAAGTTCCACCACGCCATATATTCGTTTGATAATTCCAGCATTAAAGGTGATTGCAACCTTATATTCGTGAGTGATATTGGTGAGCTGCAGTCAAAATTGTTGGTTGCCGTAGAAGGTTAACTAACCTACCCACTTTTGGTAGCGTTTCGCCCGGAGTCCGGAGAGATTGAATCGATTCAAACAGGCGACGGCTCAGTTGTTGGGTCTACTGTTGTGCGGCCTATCCACCAGGATTTGATTTCAATGGACTAATAGATCAACGCATTACTTTGCTTCCGTATACTCGCTAGAAAAGTTTACGAATTTCGATGCAGATTAAATATCGAGATTAGAAGGTGCCCCGTTCAATAACAGTAGTATACTAGTCTTTTGTATTCCAATCAATCTATTCAATACGTTTGATCCGCAGACTAATATGGCGCTTTAAGATTTCTGTAAATTTTTAGGGGGATGTGCTGAAGCAAAACTCTTTATTTATTTATTTATGTTTCATGAGGACATTTGCTGCGTTAGCGAAAGAGTGTGCGCACTTCTTTGCCCATAAGACCAAAATACGAACTCTCCTGAAATTTTTGCAAACAAAGCAACGGTGTGCAGTTGTGCGCCCTGCCCACCCAGGTTTGATGCCAAAGATTGACCCAGTTGTGCGCAATGGGTTTGTCTCTATTTGTCGCCTCTTCCCATTCGTGTAGTGACTGAGTTTTTTCTTCCCTATTTAATTTTCCTTTTGGGTAAAAAGGGAAGATGATGGCAACACACTTCTCAAGTTCCATCACGTGATATATTTGTTTGAAAATTCCAACATAAAAGGCGATGTAACCTTATATTCGAAATGATAGTGGCGAGCCGCGTATAGGCTGTTTGATGCCTGACTCGGAAGGTTAACTGACCCTCTATGATAGCATTTGGCATACAGAGTTTAACTTAAACTAGAAGCGGTCGCGTGCCTTGCCACGCTGCTTTTTGCTGTGGGCTCCACTTTGTCAGTGAGCATAATGAAGGAAGGCGGTGCAGAGCAGCAGAAGGCACTGCACCGTGCAACCCCTCCCTCGCCGAGCAACCCGCACGCCCCCTCTCGGCCACACCCACAACCCGGAAGAAAGCGGCTTACAAAGGCCAAACATCATCTGACAACCGGGTCCCACATGGTACCGCAGCCCCGATTCAGACAGAGCCCCCTAGAGCTCCATTTCCATGGTGCTTAGTGATCCCTCCGTTCTACTCCCCCGTCCTAAAATTCTTGTCTTAGATTTGTCTACATACGGATGTATCTATTCACATTTAGATAAATCTAAGACATGAATTTTGAGACGGAGAGAGTATAATATTAAAGCATTTTTGACACTACACTTATCTGTAAAGACAATACCTGAAATCAATAATAGAGTGGTAATCGTTAATCAATAGGAGATGTTCATTTAGTGTTGTTGTCATGGGCATGGTATGTTCCCTTAATTCTGAAATCCTTCTTCTGCATAACCCGTCTCTACTCAGGGTACATGGATATCTAAAAATAGTTTGACTTGCCAAACGAACAGGCAGTAGGAAGGCCTTCGTATTAGGATATGCACAAGTGTCCGTGCTGACCCATCTTTCACGCACCTTATTACTAAAAAAATGATGTTTGATGCAACAAGTGTGTTGGACACAGTTTGCATACATCACAAACACTTGGTCAGAAGTTTGGGTTTTGAAACCTATTACGCTACCTACCATGCTTCCCGGTAGAAGTTGCTTTCATGCACTGAAGGAGGAAATGACAGTTTTGACTAGCAGCTACTACAATCCAAGAAACCATTACTTGCGACTCTCATCCCTTGAATAAACCAGCCTTTTGTTTATGATTGCAGACGTGGTCCCATCTTTCTTCCATTTCAATCTGTTAATTTCATAGATTTAAGACTCCAAACTGGTCTATGCATATCGCTGTCGTTGCGTCGGTTCCGACTGAAACACAAGAGATTGATCCTGTACATATGTTATTGCAGACGTTGTTGTCTTGCAAGTTGTAACTGATGGTAATTGGCATGAATGAATCAGCAAGCTGTAACTGATTGTCACTGTTTCCTGACAGCGTGCGGGTTCAAGTTGGCCGCGGCCGGGTACGGCGTGTTTGGCATCGACTATGAGGGCCATGGCAAGTCCATGGGCGCCAGATGCTACATTCAGAAGTTCGACCACCTCGTCGCCGACTGTGACCGCTTCTTCAAGTCCATCTGCGGTAGAAATCACCTTACAATTCCACCTGGATTCCATATGAACATGTTTGCAGTTTGGTTGATCAAACGGACGACTGAACCAGATGCTGCATTCTGCTTGCAGACATGGAGGAGTACCGGAGCAAGAGGCGGTTCCTGTACGGCGAGTCCATGGGCGGCGCCGTGGCTCTGCTGCTGCACAGGAAGGACACGGCCTTCTGGGACGGCGCCGTGCTCGTGGCGCCCATGTGCAAGGTGCTGCACATCAGCCTACCGCAATGGACTTGAACTGCAATGCCTGCCTCTGCCTGCTAGCTCAAGTGCAGGTTGTTGCTTTTGGTGGTGCAGATATCGGAGAAGGTGAAGCCGCATCCGGTGGTGGTGACCCTCCTGACGCAGGTGGAGGAGCTCATCCCGACCTGGAAGATCGTCCCAACCAAGGACGTCATCGACTCCGCCTTCAAGGACCCCGTCAAGCGCGAAAAGATCAGGAGGAACAAGCTCATCTACCAGGACAAGCCGCGGCTCAAGACGGCGCTGGAGCTGCTGAGGACCAGCATGGACGTCGAGGACAGCCTGTCCGAGGTCAGGATGCCCTTCTTCATCCTGCACGGCGAGGCGGACACCGTGACCGACCCGGAGGTCAGCCGCGCGCTGTACGACCGGGCCGCCAGCGCCGACAAGACCATCAAGCTCTACCCGGGGATGTGGCACGGCCTCACCGCCGGCGAGGCCGACGACAATGTGGAGCTGGTCTTCGCCGACATCGTCGCCTGGCTCGACAAGCGCAGCCATCACCGCAAGCCTGAACGCGGCGGCCGGGTAACAAGCGCCCCGTCGGAACCTGTAAGGTACCAACGGCGGCCTGTTTCCGGCAGCACCGGCATGGACAGCCCGGTGTCGATGCCTCGGCGGCGAGGCGGCTTCCTCTGCGGGCAATGTAGAATGTAAACATGGAACTGTTTGCAAGGAAAAAGAAGCAGCAGATGATGAAAGCATGTAAATAGTGCGCTGCACGAATGCTCAGTAAACTGAATAAAGTTTTGCTCCACTCTAAAGTTCTCTTGTGTTCTAGAGAGAGATTGGCTTCCTGAAGCAGCTGGGAGGATGCACATTTCTGAAACAACATGTAATTTATACCATATAATACTATCATCTCAATCAACAAAGGATTAGAAGATCCAGATTTATATATCCAACAATCCAACTGGGATGTGTGTCCGTATAGCTGAGACGGGCGGAAAAGGCGACGACAAAAATGAATAACATTACATCAACAACCAAGGTATTTAGCAGTAAAACTCTCAACGACTACGTGGCCATAGCTCTGTCAGTGGGGTGATTAACCAAGAAGCAAGCTAGAAGCAGGCCACCAAAATTTCAAAGTATAGTACTCCGGTCTACTCTTTACTGGCCTTGGGTGGCGGTGGCGGCGCTATCTTGGTCCCCGAAGATCCGCTTGCGGAAGTCGGTGACCATGAGGGGAAGACCGTCACGGAGGGCGATCTTCGGCTCCCACCCGAGCTGCTCCTTGGCCTTGGTGATATCTGGCTTGCGCTTGTGCGGGTCGTCCTGGGTGTTCTCACGGAACTCGATCCGTGCATTCGGGTCGATGGTGTCCTGGACAACCTTGGCCAGCTCTAGCATGGTGAACTCACCAGGGTTACCCAAGTTGAATGGCCCTATGTGGTCACCTTCCATCAGCCTCATCAACCCCTCAACCTGGAAGAGGGCTATTTTAGAAAGCGCATTCCAGATAGCATTGCTACAATTTATATATTCATTTGTTCATGGTTAGAGATGACCTACCAAATCAGAAACGTATTGGAAACTTCTGGTCTGCTTGCCATCGCCGTAAACCGTCAAAGGCTCCTTCCTTAGCGCCTGCCATTATATTAACATAGAGCATTTGGGTGTTAGTTCAGGAATGAAAAATAAACTTGCGGTTTTTAAACTAGCAGAGCAACAGCACTGTATGTTTACCTGAGCAACAAAGTTGCTGACAACACGGCCATCGTCAATGCACATGCGCGGGCCATAGGTGTTAAAGATCCGAGCAATCCTAACCTGAATAGTGAATGCAACAAAATACACCAATCACTACACATACAGACCTATTTTTATATGGATGGAATGGAAAATTCAGTGCTTGCAACAATATACTAGTATAACACAAATGACAAAATACCTCAAGGTTGGCACCGCGGTGGTAGTCCATGGTCAAGGTTTCAGCTGTACGCTTGCCCTCATCGTAGCAACTCCTGACACCTGTTGCCCAGAGAAACATACATACATACACATCAGTGGAGAATGAGAGTAATACGTTCTATATGTAACGAATTTAAACAGTACATGACAAATGCATTCATACAAAATGGAGCAGCGACTATCTGTAGCTATCTAGCCCAACAAACTTCCCTCCTTTTATGCGTGTTCTCTTAATTGTTTTAAGTGTCTTGGTTGGTGAATGTTTGGTCAAGAGCAAGCATAGTTTTGCCCCACCTTCTTCCTTCACTAAGAAGGGATCAAGATCCACCATGTGGCACATTTCACCTACCAGAATTGTCCCTTTCTGGCAGAAAGAATCAAACCACGCAGGAGGCTACCCCCATCTAGATTCCACGGGCGGCATCTCCGGCTAGTAAGATTCCAACACCCCATTCCCCAAATTGAGTAAACGAGGATTTCTGGTTATAACAGTAACCTTCAGCTCAAGAACATTTCTATTTTCAAAACCTCATCACTGCTCTCCTTGTGCTTCCTTCTTCTGTAATACTACTACTAGTAGATATAACCCAACTGGCAATATGTTTTTTTTTCTATTCTCAATCCACCCCCTCAATCAAAATCACTCGAAACTACTTCCAAAACTACTCTTGAGTAAAACTAGGACAACCCCAAATCCATGTTCAGCATACCTACCCCCAATATCATACGGAAGTGTGAAATGTAATGAACGTGAGTCCAGAAGACCAGAAACATCATTAGTTTGGTACCAACAGTCCCTACCACGCAAAGACTGGGCAGCTTCTACTATGCATGATCCAACTTGGATCTACTTTTTTTTGCTAACCTCGTGTAACAATAAGCAAAATCATCATGATAGATCTGGTACACTAATGAGACACCTAACACCATCACACTTAAGAATGAGCTGGAGGAGTATTATTGAGGAGAGTTCTTACCGATGGGGTTGACATTGCCCCAGTAGGTCTCCACCTGAGGGTGCTGGAGGGGATCACCATAGACCTCACTGGTGCTGGTGAGGAGGAACCTGGCGCCGATCCTCTTGGCCAGTCCAAGCATGTTGAGTGTACCAACCACATTGGTCTTGTGCCATCTCGAAGGTTAAGGATCACACGGACCATTTCCAAAGGAACACGCAATATTGCACATCATAATAACTTGGTTGTTGGACTAAAACCTCCAAAAGGTTGTTGCAAAAGTACGCAACAGGAAGGTCATGTGAACTGATCAGTAAGCAAAGTTGCTTAGCGGAAAAAGGGACAGCTCCCACTTGGATCTCACGTTTAAGCTGTACTCTCTTTATGTCAGAGTTAAGCTAGCTCTACAGCTCAACCAGATACAAGCACAATGCAAGTTTGCTTTCGCTTTTGCCTTTTTCTCTCCTCCAATTACTGGATCATAAAGTAAAGTAAACTGGTCTAGGGATGCCACATCTAGAAAATCTGATGATAGAATCAACTTTTGCTATGCCTGTGTGCATCATGTGATGCAGAGGCCTCGCTTGTTCTCCTATCAAGATTGGCAGATCCTACTAACCCAAGTGTTTGATTGAACTAAACACTAGTCGACGCATTCGCATGCTGCAAAACAGAGTAATTTTCATGGTGGAGGAAACGGTAACTCGGATCAAGCTCTGGTCTTCCTCAACACCACGATGCGCGGAAAGCTCCAAAATTCACCGCGAAACGTGGCGCAAATCCCGAGCTCCACGCACCCAAAAATCCCCCTTGCAATCGCAGATTCCCAATCCAGAAATGCGCACGGGATTTACCCAGATGTGCAGCAAGCGGCAGAGCTGCGCAAAAGAACAGGACCCTTGTACCGCAAATATCTCCCAACCAGTAAAATGCAGGGAAATAAAAATCAGCGATCACGAGAAGCCAGGAAAAGTCAAAGCATCGAGATCCAATCAGTTGAGCTTTGAATTAGAAGAAAAAAGGATATGATTGTCTTGACGGGGTTGTACTTGTAGTGGACGGGGGATGCGGGGCAGGCAAGATGGTAGATCTGGTCGACCTCGAGGAGGATGGGCTCGACGACGTCGTGGCGGATCATCTCGAAGTTGGGGTTGCCGAAGTGGTGCATCACGTTCTCCTTGCGGCCCGTGAAGAGGTTGTCCACCACGATCACGCTGTCGCCGCGCGCCACCAGGCGGTCCACCAGGTGGCTGCCCACGAAGCCGGCGCCGCCGGTGACGAGGACGCGCAGGCCCTTCCGCTTGAGCCCCAGGGGCACCTTTCCGGCCACGAACTGGCGGCCAGGGTTGTGCGCGGCGGGGTCGACGGAGAAGCGGGTGAGCGCGCCGGAGACGCGTCCGGAGGAGGAGTAGGGGGCGGCGGTGCCGGAGCCGGAGCCGGAGGGGGCGGCGAGGCAGAAGATGGCGGCGGCGACGAGCATGCCGACGAGGGCGAAGAGCGGGCGGTGCTCGGCCGCGGCGTAGCGGGCGGCGCGGGGCAGCCACGCGAGCGGCTTGGAGCTGGCGGGCTTCGGGGAGGAGTACTCGCCGGCGGCGCCGGCGGCGCCCGCGGACGGGGACGCGGCCCCGCCGCGGTACGTGAGCTCGGACGCCATCTCCGGTGGCGTGGCCGGAGAAGTGTAGGGGCCCCCCGTGTAAGAGGAAGCGCGAGCAGGGACCTCGCCGCAGGTTTGTGTCGGTAAGGGCGCGGGGTGAGGTGCGTGTCAGAGGTGGGAGAGCGAGGTATTTATGCTGCGGGCGGGGTGGGAGGCGCCGCGTGGGACCCGACCCGTTGGAGGCGATCGATCGAGATCGACGGTGCGGTGCGGTGCGGTGCGGTGCTGCGTGGGTTTGACTACGGGGAGGCCGGCGAGATTAGGTGGTGGTGCGGCGGCCGGGTGTGAGCGTGTCACCTCATCGCCAGGGTCTCCGTCGGCGGCTAGCTGGCCTGGCCTGCCGACCGGTTCTACGATTTTTTTCTGAGAGGTGCCGATCGGTTCTACGAAAATAACCCTTTTTTCTTTGAGAAAACCACTATAGAACTTCACCGGTTTATCCGTTTCTTTAGATATACATAGGTTTTTTTAGATACTCAGAGATTACCACCATACCATTACCATGATCTCATAGAGGGTCCGTTTTTAATGTCATATAATTTACTGCCATGTTTGAGGCGTACCAGGTCCAAGTTTATAGAACAAAAATGGATCATTTATCATCTCTAATTACAATATGATAAATATGCATAGGATTTGAAATGTCTTAAATTGTTGTCATATTCTGGGCGTATCAAACCTAAGTTTAGACGAAAATGAATCATTTATCGTGTTTAATTATATGATAAATATACATGTATTATTTGAGTTTGTGATGTCTTAATTTATGCTGCCATGTTTGGCGTGTATCGGGCCTAAGTTTAAACCAAATTGATTCATTTATCATTTTTAGTAAGAGATTGATTGGGTTTTATTAAGCATTGCATTTATAGTAGGGGTTAACTAAGAGGAAAAAAAACTTTAACCACATGAATGAGCTCAATCGCGTTGTCCTTTTTTTGCAGATCATCATGGTTAACCTCGTGGCGAATCTCGAGATGGGCAACCTTGGTTTGAAAAACGTCTAGAGCATTTCATCTGTTTCTAAAATTTTGTGATTGTATTTTATAAGTACCTATTTTACGACATACAATGGCTTCACATAGGGTTTGTATGATTTTACTAGTACATATTTCCACGTCCACACAATTGTT